CTATGAAGACGATGATAAATTTGTATTTTTTTTGGTTTGGTATAAAGATTGTACTTTAGTCTACACAAAGCATTAATTAAAATTATTAATTTCATTCATTAAGTGCCTTAAAATTGCATTTGAAAGTCACGATTTTGGCCAATTTTGGCTGCTCCTGATAGACTGTCTTTTTATCGGAAAAATAATAAGATTTTTAAATTACACCAAAGTAGGTTTGGTTTACTGCTAACCAGGCGTAAATATGAATTTATTAAAAATTATCCTCCTACTTTTTCTTATCTTTTATATATATATATATATATATATATATATATATATATATATATATATATTTATATATATATATATATATATATATATATATATATATATATTATGTCGATTTTTGTAATACTGACACTCAATAAATTTAATTCTATCTATATGCTTATTTATTTACACAGTTTGAAAAATTATTGGTTCCAAATATTTTTTTCAGTCAAATGGGATTCGAACTGGCGAACTTGGAATTGATATTCTGGCCTAAACCGTATCTTTACGACCTCGGCCATTCGCACACTTAGCATACAACATTTTTAGAAAACTTATATCTTTCAGTTTGAAAATAACACTTTATATTTTAAAAAAAGACTACGGTTTTATGTAATCAATTGGCCGAGATAGTTAAGTGACCACTACGATTACTCAGCGTGTCTCGGTTCGATTCCAGAAGGGGCACAAAAAATCGAATGTCTAGTTTTTCGTAATTATCAAATATTAGTTCAAAATATTAAATTCAGGTGTCGCATTTCGACCTTGACACTTAGAATATTTCTGAAAAATTCAAGGTTCGCACTTGACTGTAAGAGAGATACATAAAAAGAAAAAAAAAAAAAAAGGTAGAGGAAGAACTGGGGAAAGAGAGGGGTAGAGGCAGATGATGAATAAGAGAGATGTGTATGATACATATTCTTTATTAAAATTCAATATTAATACAATATAGGAATAAAAATAACTTTTATCATCAATAACTCAAATAGCCGAGTGGTTTAAGGGACCGCATACTCGGTGAAATCACTCTGGAGGCACAAGGTGAGATGGATCGAATCCGGCTGAAGGCGACGACGAGCAACTCTGAAGCAGAAAAAATGGAGCAGTGCTGGTGACCGGCTGTTGGCGAGCGCAAAGGGTCCTGAAACGAACACACGAAGTGATGGTCAACCTGAGGTCCATGATGCGAGAGGTTACACGCAGAGAGAGACACATTGCGGAAGATGCATGCCGGACCCAAAAATCTACCCAAAAACCACAACATGCGAAAAAAACAACACCAAAAAAGAAAAAAAATGTGAAAAAAAGCGGAAAAAAGGAAAAAAAAGGAGGAAGAGGGGAGGAGGAGGAGGAAGGAGGGGGTGGAGAGCCTAAAAAAACCCCTTAAGTCCCAGATCAATTTTTCTCTTTTCTGTTCAGCGTTGAAACTTTTTTATGTTTTTTAGTGTTCCCTCACACCAATTCCCAAAGCCAACACTCGAATGAAATGAAGTCCACGTTGAAAATTTCACAACGAGAAAAAATTACTGGGACTTAGTTAAAATTTTTAACTTTGTCCCAATAAAATTTTCTCGTTGTGAAATATTCAATGGAGCCTCATTCATTCGAATGTTGGCTTTGGGATAATACAGCATGCATAAATAACTCGTCTGTCTTAATTGAAAAGGTTTCAGAAAATTTGGACTTAGAAAAAAAAAATATCTGAAAGGACTTAGAAAAAAAAAAATTATTCGAAAGAATTATAATCAGAAAATTTGGACTTAAAAAAAAAAATTATTCGAGAGAATTATTTAATTAATCGATGAAATTAAATGATATTAATCGAATCAAAATTGTTTATACGACTTGATAAAACATGTGAAACCTTTACAATTAATCGAGACAGAAACAAATGTAGTTGACTTGAATAATGTACAAATTATTGGAGAAAGCTATAAAATAAATTCAACAAAACTTATTGAATTATTAAAATATGTTCAAAAACTTGAAAATTAAAAAATTCAAAACTGTTAAAAGCTCATTGTTATCCTTTAGAAATCGAGTTAAATCATTTTTACAACTTGAAATGAATAATAAACTTGTAAACAAAATTATGTTTCGTCTAATCATTCAAGTCAACTCTTTGAAACTTTGATTGTATGTCTTGATCAAAATTGTTTTTAGTAATAAAAGAATAAAAATCTATCATTTTTCTTTGCAGCAACATAATTGAATAAATTTAAAGTAAAATTACAGTAAAAGTCTTTTAAAAGCTGCATTTAATTAACAATTTGGTGAGTCGTATTGAGTATTTGAAATAATTTGATCAAAATCAACAATCGTGTTATCCATAAATGAGCCGCTCAGTGCACACATCGATTAACTCCATAAAACAAAAAGTTGAGAAACGCGATGATTTAATGTATATTGTTTTTTAAAATTTCCCTGATAATATGAATTCAAATATAAATGTAGAAGCGTCGATGCACGGCCAGAACAGATACAGCGTTACTAAAACGATTTACATTATACAGAGTATGGAGTTAATCGAAATGGCTTCTAAAATAAATTACTTATTATTCAATGGCCAAAAAAAATTGCCATTTAACGGTGCTAATCTTTATTATTCCGGAAAGTTATTATAAATACTAAAAGTTATGATCTAAAAGTTCTTTCCCACTAATATCTCAGTTTTTTCAAAAAGTGGAGTTAGTCGATGTGTGCACTGAGCGGCTCAAATAAGAATGTTCATGCAGTCAATATCGCTTGGGGAAAACACATGATTCTTGACACTGGAAATGTCAAATACAAATACAAATATTCTTTCTGTATAATAATGAACAAGAGGTGTAATAAAAAAGAGATTTTTGTAACAAAGTAAATTTGTAACAAAATACCATCGATTTAGGAGTTATCTAAGGTAAGGTACTAGGGCCCCTTCAACAAATTATTTATATTAAGTAATCGAAGCATACAAAAAGCTGTATTGGTTAACTAATCATTTTGAATTCCACACAAAGTGTTATTTATAGAATAAAAGAATTTCTGAACGTATTTCTGATTTCTGAGAAGTACAAACTTGTTTCTTTTATATTGATTTAAAACATTCATAAAAGGCACTTGTATAAATAAATAAAGAAAAACTGAATCAACATGTTTTCCCCATAGCAAATTAAATAAGAACAACGTCTTTTACACATATGTCTGCCAAATTATTTTAAAATCTTTTATTAGCATAATAGTTGTTGATGAATTAACAAAAAAAAAAAATGCATTTTATATATTAAAATTAATAAAGTATACCTTAATAAAAAAATTGCATTGACTCAATTATAATAATATGAACAATATTTTCAGCAGATATATGTATACAACTATATTAATAATGCACAAGCCAGAAAATATTCCACTAAAATATATACAGGCTGCCTTATAAACGATGAATAACAAAGGGACAAGTTCTCAAAAAATCTTTCAACTAATTTTCATTTATTCATTTAATTTAATATAAAAAACAAGCATTAAATACATGATTAGTAATAAGTAATATTATTACAAGCATAAAAAGTAGCATGTAATACAAAGTCGGCCAATAATTGTCTGTTCAGAAAATAAATTATAAATAATATCTTTTTATTTATTTCTATTCAAATCATAGTTTTATTGAGGATGACAAACAATATTGTATCGAAATAAAGATTTATAAATCAAATCCCAAAATAAATTATTTGATGTAAATGCTTCACATTAAAAAAAACTTAATGCATATATATATATATATATATATATATATAGTTAAATATTGAATATTTAAAACACTATAGGTGCAACAGATATGGTGCGATAAATGCCTGTATATAATTCCAGAAGAATATTCTTTGAAGACTCGCTTTGTATAAAACATGCCTTGCACTTACATTGTTCGATATCCTCTATAGCAGCTCCCGGAACACAAATCCAATACACGAACCACCTCTAGAGCATCTGCCAGAAATCTCAAGTACTCGACACAAAATCACTACTTTAGAACCACTGCATAACTTTAGTCTTTTACAAGTCAATTTGACCTGTTGCAATTGTCCGAGTAAGTCTTTACACAATACACGACACACGACTTATATTAGAGACTTTCGTGAATTTAGAATTCGATATAAAGAGATATGTGTTGGAAGTACTCAAATATAATCTACAAAAGCACATATATAAATTATACTATTGATAATTGCATGTATATAATTAAAGGATACATTGGCGCTGTAAATGAATTAATAACCTACAAAAGCACATATATAAATTATACTATTGATAATTGCATGTATACAATTAAAGGATACATTGGCGCTGTGAATGAATTGTTTAATTATAAAATTGATTCAAAATGGAGACCCTGAAAGAGATACTTGTCAAAGGCACCTCCACACATATCCATTTTTTCGGCTTTTAATTAACGTTTCACGATAAATTTATTATATCAAAATCATCTACTAAATTAATTACATGTTTTGATGCATAAATTAATTAAAACTGAAGAGTTATATATAGATATTATATTAATGAAATAGATATTATAGTCAAATGAAATGTAAATATTATATGAAAACTGTTTTTCATAATCTCTCATACCAGGCACCTCTGTCTGACTGAGATATGAAAATAATGTATATATGTAAATAAATAAATAATAAAAAACTAATCAAAGATTTAATTAAAAACTCTTAATTAACGCGACAGCATGTTAACTCACGAAAATCTATTTGACAATTGATGCATTTGAAGTTGTCAAAATATTTGTCGTATAATTTAGAGCGCGAAATTCAAACTTTAAATTTAAACTTTGTAAAATTCACTTATATTCGCCAAAAGTGAATGGATTTGGTTGAAATTGCAATCCAAAGACTATTTATATATTTTGCTTTTTACCGTATACATTCAAATCTACAATGTTTTATGCACTATTGTCAACTTACATATAAATTAAATATAAATTATTTCTAGTTACTTACACGAGAAAGAGAAAACGTCCTAAGCAATTGAGAAGTTGTGCATACACGAGAAAGAGGCTCATCACTTGAATCTTCGCTGCTTTCATTAATTATTTTCTTGTTAATTGCAGCACTTTTCGGCAAATTTTTCTCTAAATCTGCTTTTTTAGGAAGCGTTTTGATGTTGCATAGACGAGAAAGAGGCTCATCACTTGAATCTTCACTGCTTTCATCACTTGAATCTTCACTGCTTTCATTAATTGCTTTCTTGTTAATTGTAGCACTTTTCGGTAAATTCTTCTCTAAATCTGCTTCTTTTTCAAGGGCTATTTTGATTACCGTTACACGAGGAACAAGATCATTCATTGAAACATTATTGCTTTCATTATTTACTTTCTTGCTAATTGTACTTTTCGGTAAATTCTTCTCTAAATCCGCTTTTTTAGGAAGTGTTTTGATGTTGCATAGACGAGAAAGAGGCTCATCACTTGAATCTTCACTGCTTTCATTAATTACTTTCTTGTTAATTGTAGCACTTTTCGGTAAATTCTTCTCTAAATCTGCTTTTTTGGGAAGTTTTTTGATGTTGCATACACGAGAAAGAGGCTCATCACTTGAATTTTTGCTGCTTTCATCACTTGAATCATCACTGCTTTCAGAAATTGCTTTCGTGTTGATTGTAGCACTATTCTGTGAATTCTTTTCTAAATTTGCTTTATTAAAAACTGTTTTATTGTTGGATGCACAAGAAAGAGGCTCATCACTTGAATCTTCGCTGCTTTCAATAACTACTTTCTTGTTAATTGTAGCACTTTTCGGTAAATTCTTCTCTAAATCTGCTTTTTTAGGAAGTGTTTTGATGTTGCATAGACGAGAAAGAGGCTCATCACTTGAATCTTCACTGCTTTCATTAATTACTTTCTTGTTAATTGTAGCACTCTTCGGTAAATTCTTCTCTAAATCTGCTTTTTTAGGAAGTGTTTTGATGTTGCATAGACGAGAAAGAGGCGTATCACATGAATCTTCGCTGCTTTCATCACTTGTATCTTCACTGCTTTCAATAATTACTTTCTTGTTAATTGTAGCCCTTTTCGGTAAATTCTTCTCTAAATCTGCTTTTTTAGGAAGTGTTTTGATGTTGCATAGACGAGAAAGAGGCTCATCACTTGAATCTTCACTGCTTTCATTAATTACTTTCTTGTTAATTGTAGCACTCTTCGGTAAATTCTTCTCTAAATCTGCTTTTTTAGGAAGTGTTTTGATGTTAGATACACGAGAAAGAGGCTCATCACTTGAATCTTCGCTGCTTTCATCACTTGTATCTTCACTGCTTTCAATAATTACTTTCTTGTTAATTGTAGCACTTTTCGGTAAATTCTCTAAATCCGCTTTTTTAGGAAGTGTTTTGATGTTGCTTACACGAGAAAGAGGCTCATCACTTGTATCTTCACTGCTTTCATTAATTACTTTCTTGCTGATGATAGCAGTTTTCTGTATACTGTTTTCTAAATTTGCTTTATTAACTGTTTTATTGTTTGATATACAAGAAAGAAGCTCATCACTCGAATCTTCACTGCTTTCAATCATTACTTTCTTGTTTATTGTAGTACTTTTCGGTAAATTCTTTTCTAAATCTGCTTCTTTTTCAAGGTCTGTTGTGATTGCATTTACACGGGAAACAAAGTTATCCATTAGAACACAACAGCTTTCATTAATTACTTTCTTGATGATTGCAGCACTTTTCAGTAAATTCTTTTCTAGATCTGCTTTTTTAGAAAGTTTAATATTGGATACGTGGACAACAGACTCATCACTTGAATCTTCACTGCTTTCAATTATTACTTTCTTGTCTATTGTAGCACTCTTCAGTAAATTCTTTTCTAATTCCGCTTTTTTAGAAAGTGTTTTGGTGTTGGATACACGGGAAACAGACTCATCACTTGAATCATCACTGCTTTCAATAACTTTCTTGTTGGTTTTAGTACTTTTGAGTGAATTCTTATCTAAATCTGCTTTTTTAGAAAGTGTTTTGGTGTTGGATATATGAGAAACAGACTCATTACTTGAATCTTCACTGCTTTCATTAACTACTTTATCAATTGTACCTCTTTTCAATGAATTAATTTCCAGAACTGCTTTATTACAAACTGATTTGGATAGGTCGGATACACAAGAAGCAAGCTGATCACTTGAAGCTTCGAGTTTAGGAACTTTAGATTTCTTTGATGATAATATAGAGTCTGCAAGTCGCTTGATAGCCATTGACTTAGCAGCCCTCGATTTAAATTTCATTTTAAATAAATATAACCTCAGAATATTAAGAAGAAATCTAATGTGATATTTGCCAAATGCAAGTTTACAACAAAATCATATACAATAAATGAATATGTAAATAAATATATATGTATATCAATCAATATATATTATTGGAATAATTTCCAGTTTCAAATCTAACGGCAAAGTCACAATTCTTTGAAATAAAAAAAGCGTTGCACATTATGAACCAATATTAGAATATGATGTTTTCTTCTAGTGCACAACTTCTCAATTGCTTAGGACGTTTTCCTTTCACATTGAATTCAAATGTATATTATCACTATAGAAAATTTTATCGACATTTCCTGATTTATTTATTTCTTATCACTAAAGTAAATATTCTTTTCACAAAAAAAAAAAATCAAATTGTATACAGTTTGTACATTTAATTTTATAATATTCTACAAGAAATACGTATTTTCTCCAGAATTTTTATTTGCTTCATATGAGAAGTAGAAGTATTCTTTATGCGTTTTTTGGACTTGCATTAAGGTTGCATTTCTATTGCACATATAAAAAACACAAAGATAATTTCTTAGCTCTTCTAAAATAATAAATAAAATATTATATAAAACTAGTTTTATATAATTGATCTCTAAAAAACGTAAGCTGAATTTCGTTTTACTATGTTAGAATGGCGTCACCTCCAAATGCTCCAAAACTCCAATTACCAGTCGTGACCTGTTGTGGCTTATATAAGCTTGTGCCATAAATAGATCTAAAACTAGCACATGGCTTTAAAATACAAATAATAATTATGGTTAATGAAATATGTATTAGCATTCCTTATATAAGTACTTTTCGATGTGCGCTATTTGTATTTGGTCATATATTGGCGATGGTTTTAGCAGGCTATAAAGAATCCCAGAAGAGTACAAACATTTTTAGTTAAGGTAAACGATTATTTCTATAAATGAAATTCTACTCCACAAAATTTTGTTCTATACTAATGTGACAAGTCTAGCACAGTTTTACTTCGCTAATTTTTTGCTTTTTTTTAAAAGCATCTATAAACTCAAAAGTTTCTGAACATGCCATATTGATACATTTTCCTTATATCATCTGATAAAGTGTCCAAGTTGGAACACTGTACAATACTCACATATTGTCTATATTGCTTATAATTTTTCAAATTTATAATAGTTTATACCATTTTCAGAATCAAGCTTTCACATTGTTTGAATATAATATTGTTCCTGATACACACTTGAAGTACTTGACTGTATACATATATAAAATTAAAAATGTATCAATTGATGGTATATATATATATATATATATATATAATTGCTATAATATAATATTGCGATTCTAGGGTTATTAAGTTTATAATTAAATTATTTTCAATTACATATAAACAGTAAATTAATGACTCTGAATAAATTTGGTTTTAAGTAATGTATAAAGAATGCTACCATATAATTTACACCATAATCAAATCATAAATTACAGTATAATTATACTTTATTTTCATCATCTTGAACATTGTATAAATTGGACAAATTACAAATATGAAAATTCTCAAGTTTATTCAAAAGCATAATCTAAATATGTATAATCAAAATTTTGAACTCGAACAAAACCATCTTCTCCTCCTGTAGCAAAACTCTTTCCATCAGGATGGAACTTCAAGCTGTTTACTGGACCGAAATGTCCCTTCACACGACCGAATTCTTCTTCATAGACCAAGTGGAAGAATCTAGTTTCAAACATACCCTGTCTTGAGGATGTGGTTGTTACTTCCATAGCATCTTGACCACCTCCCAATGCAACATGTTCTTTAATAGGACTGATGGCGGCACTATTTACATGCCTTTCTGTTTTGTAACATTTCAAACATAAAAGCGAATCAGTGTCAAAAAGTTTAGCAGTCATATCTTTGGAAGCCGTTACAAACATTGTTCCATCTCTAGACATTTGCATATCATTAATTACTTTGGTATGGTCGTTGACAGAATTCAGAAGTTTTCCAGTCTACAAAAACAGAAACATTATTATGCATAGTAAGAAAAAAAATACTTCAAATAATTTTTTAAAATAAATACTACGTTTGTATGTTTGTCTATTCCACTGATAAATTGCAAATTACTGAATAAACAAAATGAAACCAAAACCATTTTTAGAGAAAAAAATTACAAAATTATTAAAAACAAAAGTTAAATAGCAATTAGGTTCAATAATATTATGTATAATAAATAAATTATCCATTAATTACTTTTTTGAACATGTTAATCTTTTATTAAAAAAAAAATAAATATTAAACTTAATAATGTGTAATCACTTTTTATGCTTATTTATAAAAATCTAATTGCACAAAATATTCAGTATATAATATTATGCTTTCTAAATTTTTAATAGGTTATTTATGGATATTAGTTTCGAATGATGCACGTAATTAATACAAAGAATAAATCAATAAAGAAATAAAATTGAAGTAACTGAAAATACTAACTTTTAAATCCCATTGTGAAATGGACCCATTTTCATGTCCCGTTAATACTGTTTCATCTAAAGGACCCCATAACATTGCTGTAACTTTAGATTCTGGAATTGGTATCCTTAAAATAGGATCAGCCTTGGACATACTGCTATCTGCATTTCGCACATCAATAATATATAATTCACAAGATGAGGATTTACTACTATCTGTTGAATATGCTGCTTGATTGCCCGAAAATGAGAAATTGCAAGTCCTCACAGATGCTTGGGCAGGTATTGAACCAATTTCTTTGCCTAGTTCCAAATCCCACAATCTAAAAACGAATTGAATGAATTTTAATTGTATCAAATAATTTCAGGAGACAGTCAACCACATACTTCAGAGACCGGTCACCACTTCCTGACATAAATCTAGTACTTTGCCAATCCACATCTATACACCAAACCACACCATTATGGCCATTAAAAGTACCGAGTCTTTCACCGTTCAAGGAGAACCAAACATTAGGTTTGTGATCCTTAGAAGCCGAAAATAATAAATCGCCTTCTCTGTTGTATTTGATTTGGGTTATGGAACGTTCGTGCCCTTGAAGTATCAGCGGCTTCTATAGACGAGATACAGGTTCATATTTATACACTTAAACTATATTATAAATATGATTGTGACCATATAATAACGATACTTGCCATGTTTATATTTTTTTAAATTCTTTTATATAAATTGGTTACCACGTTTCATATATTACAATTATTACTTTAGCATCAGCGGTCAACGAGTTGAAGTTGGAACAGATGTCTGAAGTTACACATATATCGATACATTTTGACACATATCGATAGTCGGCATCACCAACATCGTTTAAAGAAAATTTTTAAATTTTTATTTGAAAAAAATTAATTAAATTTATCATTATATAAAAATTTTACCTAATTTTATTAATTATTAATTTTTTTAACTAATTAGTTATTTAATTAATTTTTTTTTAACTAATAGCAATTTATCAATCACAATCATTTTTTATTTATTTTATAATATCTTAAAATAACATTAAATATTAATTATATTTATATAATGATCTTTATATATTGAAATACTGTTTTTGGTTTGGAATATATAATTTATGATATCATATTCAAATATTAAAATACATACTTATCAATCACAGAATGAAATCGTAAATATAATTCATATAGTATATTAAAATATAGATAATGAATTCAAATACAAAACTATTGCTCAATAGTTTTTATTTTATATTAAAGCAGAAAATTCTACATCTTAAAATAACATTAAATATATAATTAGAACTGTTTTTGGTTTGGAATATATAATGCATAAAACTATAAATATTGTCAAGAATATACTTTCATCAATTACCGAATAAAATTGCAAATATAATCTATATTATATATTAAAATATAGATAATGAATACAAATACAAAAACAATTTCTCAATAGCTGTTATTTTACGTTAGAACAGATAATTCTACATCACTGTAATTTTTATTCACATTTGTAATAACTTAGGGCTGCTTAGGGCATATATAATAAATAAATAAATAAATTAATTAATTAATTAAATATTAAAATTATAGAATATAAATTTACAAGTTATATATTAAATTTGTTGATGTTCTTGCCATTGTTCTCATCAGACAACATATATTTTTATTTTGTATATAGTCAATTTTTATATTTGTAATTGTAATTTTAACTCTCATAATTATATTTTTTTCAAATATTCGTTCATGTTCGATAAGATAATATACAGTTTATATCATAAGTATATCTTATTTTTGCATCAATGTTATAATTGAAACTCAATGCAGTGAATTTGATATGATCTCATGTTGTCATATTTTTTGAAGACATGCAATGAAAGATTTAGAATAAAATATTTTAAAACTTTCTTCAAGACATTAATTAAGCTTTAGTAGCTTTTGCTACTTTTGCTCTCAACCTTGGTGTTCTATTTGTATTATTTTCCATGATTATTTTTCTGTTTCGTAATTTCAATTTACATGTAGTTAAAGAATTATCTTCAGTGGTTTCATTATAATTATTGTGATCTGTAAATGCTACTGTATTTTCATCCTCATCAGTTTTATATATTAAATTTGTAGGATTGATTTTATGATCTATTTTTTCTAAGCATTCAGGAAAGTTTTTGTAGTTAGCAGCTGAATATTGATCTAATGATATTTGTTTTAAGAGTGAGAGAAGAATTAGATTATTCATTCTCATTTCATTTAAACATTGCACCATTTCAGACATTTGTTTTTGCAATTCAATTATTAAGTGATTATTATCTTTATTGTAGTTCTTGTAATATAAAATGTGTTTTGCATATACTAAAACACTTGTAAATAGGCTAAAACATCTCAAAACAGTTTTATAAAAGAGAACATAAGATTGAAAAGTTGCTGGAGAGATTATATAATATGATAATTGATTTATGCCAATGTATTTCTAGCACTATATTCAAAAGAAATATTAAAAGCAAAACTGAAACCTGCAACTTTGTGTTTTTTCTGTGGAAGATAGTACTAAGATTCCTATAAGATAAGCCACACATAATAACAAACTTGACATCCATGTCATTTCTCCTAAAACCCATTTTTGAATATAATTTATCTTAGAAATGATATCGAATAATAAGTTACTATGTTCCTTTGTTGATGTAGTGAAGTTCTGAGCAATATTTTGAACATAGTTATGAGAAATTTCAAGTTCTGAGGACAGTTTTTTACCTTGTCGCATTAAAATATCCTGGATTTCTAATCCTCGTTGTTGTTGTTCAAGCAAGTTTGCTTGCAAATTTTTGGCTAACTCTAATTGCTCATTGACATATTGGGTATTAGAATTTAATAAATTTATGGTTTCCTCAGCCTTTTCATGCCAAATTTTATTATACAGATAAAAACACATATTTTGAGTATGTGAATAAAACTCAGTGTAGACATTGAACGCTCTGTCAGACATACTATCAATGCATATGCGTCTTAAATTTGGCTTTTTGTCACTGAAACAGTTATATGTCTGTTGCCCCGACATTTCTAGAAAACAATTTGTAAACCTCAAACTTAAATCCTGTTGAACATCCTCAGTAAGTGATTTACATTCATGGTTAAGTTGCAAAACAGCGTTCTTCCAACAGTCTCCATGTACAGGGAGATTGCTTCTTTGTTGAACGATCTAAAATAGATTATATTATGGGTAATAATACACTAAAGACTTAACATAAAAATACTTTAAAATACTGACATCATTACTGTGCTTGTCCTGTTTTAATGATGTCTAAATAGTATGGCTCGCTAGGAAATTGCAGAAATTCTTTCGCAGAAATCAGTTGTACAAATATAATGACAAATATAGATATAATTATTGAAACATGCATTATAAATAATAAGAGTAAAAACGAACGAAAAACTTCTAAAATTCGTTAAAAATGATTATCCCATAGAACTATCAGTTCACACTGCTAAGGATCGGTAACAGTTGACAGTTGACAGTTGACAGTTGACTGTCAAATAATTTGACCCATAGATAAAAGAAGAGTAGATGTTATTTGACTTTGAGGAGTATAGATTTGACCATTTGACTCATTTGACTCATAACCATAGATAAAAGAAGAGCTCATAACATCCGAAGCGATAGTAGCGCCTCTAGCAAACTTTTAAGCTTCGAAAAAAAGTTTGATTTCAAGTGCAAGGATCATTAGGATTAGAGATAAATAAAAATAATAAGACAAAGACAATATATACATAACTAGCAATTAGGACATTATAAGAATATGAATTAATTTTTTAGTGTTATTCCACATCATAGTAACCGAAAGAGCTTTTCTCAATGTATTGCATGCATTTACTTAATCATAAAAGTGCATGAATAAATAAGCATGGAGAACCCTGCATGACTGTAATTAAATGTTTATATTTGTATTAATATTAATAATAGATTATGGATATTAATTATTGTTTGCCAAAAGCAACCTGAAATATTCATTAAAATTTTAATTTTCTTAAATTTTATAAAAAAAAATCAATATAAATTTTTTATACATTTATTTATATAATCACAAATTATTATGGATATATATGTAAACTGGATTACTTGTTGCATTTAATAAGATAACTAGCCAAATTCAGTTTAAAACTAATACATAAGTAGTCCTATGCGTAAAGTGTGCTATGAAAACAAAAATTTTCTTCTAATTTTCATATTACAATAAATCATATTATTGACAAGTCTATTGAATACAAATGTTATCATATAAATGGTTCAGTCCTTTCGAAGATACGGGCCAAAAAGTGCAAAAAATGGCAATTCAGTTTTTGATAACAAAACGTTTGATTTGAAATTTCGATTAATTAAAAAAACATACATAGCACTGGTATCGTCGCAATGAAGAATTGATTTTTTTTTTGGAAAGCAGATCTAGCAGCCAAAAATGTTGATTAAACATGTGCACATCAATTTATCAGATATTTAATTTACAAATTCAAAAGCAAACACATTTTATTTATAGTTTTATGGGTTCCGTACCAAGATTTATAATATATAACGTTAGATTGCAAAGCGGCGCTTAAGCGCTTCAATGTTTCGTATCTAAAACAGCTACGCAACGAAATCGCTTTATAAAAAATCTGAATTTTCATTTAATTCTTTAAAAAAAATCAAATGACGGTATTAGAAGTTCTAGCGATTTGCTTTGCCACATGACATGTTTCACTAAATCGTTATTTTGTTTAATAATTTTTCAACTATAATATTTCTAACCTTAAGTAAGTGCTTTAAATGTGAAAATCAGTTCATAATTTTATTTAAAATTTTAAGTTATTTATTATAACTGTGCTTAAGTGACATACAGTATGACTATAATTCCACTAATTTTTATACAAAAAACAAGCCATACTGCACACAAAAATTATTCATTAATCACGTTGCCTGAAGTGGTAAAGGCCTTGTTAAAATTCTTCGATATTAAAACAAAATACGTGTGAATAAGGCGATACCGCAAAAACACCGACATCTTGGCAGATTTCGGGACGTAAATCACTTTAAATCTATAATTATTTCTTCTTCCGATCCTAAAATACTTGACATGCAAAGTGCAGATAGGAACTAAGATCGAGAGCAAGAACAAACCGTGTTATATTTGCTTGAAACATTTCTCTTGCTTGAAACATTGCTTATAGCTTTGATCTAAATTCAAGGATAAAATTAAAATAGGCATAGATAAATATTATAAAATAGCCTATAAATATGATACCAACTTACTGTTTTTTTGAACATGGTATATGGTATAATTGCGGCAAGGCTTCTGAAGGGTTATTTTTATTCATTATGTTTTAAATACATAAGTTAATATTAAATTTAAACAGTGAAAACAGTGGTTGACTGTGCTAAACTAAGTTCTTAGCCTGCCTCAAAATACAAAAAAAAATCTAATCATCTAAATTTATATACTTGAAACAACACTGATTATTACCACTTTTAATATTAACACACCTTCACTCTCAATTGGCTCACACAATCATTATTAACTTTCCGTAGGGTAAGTTATAGTAATGGGCCAAAAATCTAAATTGAACATTTTTGCATATCTTCACGTTTCAGATGTTTCTGAACATTTTGGCATACCTAAAAAAAATGGATGTGTGTTTATATATATGTGTGGATACAATTTTTAGTCAACGTTTTCGGGAGGGTACCGCTCAACCGATTTGAATAATTGAAAAACCAATCGATTTCTGTTCATAGGGAAATGTGCTGATTAGTTTTTGGGAAAGGTCGATCCAGCCGTTTCGAAATGCGAACCAAAGAGTGCAAAAAATGGAAACTCTGTTTTTGCGAAAACCGGGCATCCGATTGGAATGATTCAAAGAACATTCAATTTGTAATGATGGGGAGAAGTGGTGATTACCTGTTGTCAAAGGAAGGTTCAGCCATTTCGAAGATACGGAGCTAAATGTGCAAAAAATTGCACTTTTTGAGAAAACTAAGCATCTGATTTGAATGATTCAAAAAGAATTCTACTTGTATTAACAAAACAATTGATTTTGAAGAAAAAAAATTATTCTACAATAAATTTTTACTTCTAAGATTGTTTTATGGTCACCAATTCCGTCTCTGCTTTAGGTGATATATGCTATTAGCCATTTGACGAACATATCAAAGCATGTCCGCGGATGTTTTAAAAGCATTTATGTATAATAATCTTAAATATACCCTTTTAAAATATAATACGCAAATTAGTGATACATTAAATGGGTACGTGCGGCTACTTTATCATTTTTCCAGCAAACACGAGCGCTAATGAAAGACTCTGATTACAACGTGTGCCATATGAGAGGAAATTGACCGTAAGTCGGTAAATATTTTACTTGGAGACGATTTAAAATTATCCTGATTGACTGAATTATTTCTGTTTGAAATAGAATAGGTCACAATTAATTATAAAACATAGGACAAAAGGTTTATAAAATTATATTAAAAAAAGTAGGTATTATGCATGAATTATATGTATAATATGATACGTTCATATTTAAACTTTTGTAGTTCTGTATTACAAATTTCCCTTCATAAACAATTGTTTTATTAACAAAAGTAATAATAACAATAGTAGTATCAGAGCCACCACTGGGCAAACTGATATCCTCTTCTTTTTATATTAATCAAAACTAGTGGTGTATGGCATCGTGCTTGAGGCAAATTGCTAGAACTTGTCATTTCTGCCTTTTTTTTCACATTTAGCTCAGTATCTTAGAAACGGCTAGACCTGCCTTTGCCAAAAACTAATCGCCACTTCTTCCCGTCATTACAAATTGACTGCTTTTTAGAGCATTCAAATCGGATGCTTTGTTCTCTCAAAAAACTCGATTTTTATTTTCTGCACTCTTTGCTTCGTATCTCCAGAACGGCTAGACCTGTCTTTGCCAAAAACTAATCAGCACATCTCCCTATCAATAGGAATCGAATGTTTATTGAACCATACAAATACGTTGATCTATGCGCCCGAAAATGAGGACGAAAAATTGTATCTATACACACATGCACACACATCCATTTTTCTGAGGTATGCCAAATGTTCAGAACCTCAAAAACTAAGTTAGTTGTTAGCTGATAAAATTTAATATGTATCGAAGTCATAAAAATAATTACACCGTAATTTTGGCTTCTTTCTTTAAATTTAAAGAACAAATTCAATATTTTGTCGTTGTATGTTTTTCCTTTCAAACTACTGAAAAAAATTCAATTATTACAATGTATTGGATGTAACATATTACATTTTGAAATCCATTGTAATTTGGCTTCAATCTTTAAATAAAAAAAAATCAATTTTCAAATGTATTTTTGCTTCTTCCTTAATTCTATAAAAAAATACTAACCCCATATCATATGCTTCCGTTTCAATTCACTGTAATTTTGGCCCTTTTCTTTAGTTTTATGAAAAAAATTCATATTTTGTTGTATATATAATCCACTGTAATTATGAC